ACATAATAACCACTCCAAACAAAATCATTCTGTTATAGCAAATGGGAGATTCATAAGCAACTGATCTTTCCCCCAAACAGGCAGGCACACTGTGCTGGGAAAGGCCCCTGTAAGACATCTCAAAGCCTTACTGATGTGCTTGGAATTATAATGGTTCTTGTGATGCTGTGGCCTGGCCACTCACAGGGTTTTTTTGTTTGGTTGGTTTTGGTTTTGGTTTGTGAGACAGGGTCTATGTGGCTCTGGCTGTCCTGGAACTATGTAGACTAGATTGGCCTCAAACTCACAGAGGTCAGCCTGCCTCTGCCTCCCCAGTGCTAGGATTAAAGATGTGCACCACCACTTGTGTGTAGCTTTGTAGTGTTTCTTTCAGCATATTGCCGGTGAGATTTGTGTTAAAAGAAATGGTTTCATTCATCAGACCTTAGAATATGTATGATGGCATGAAGCAAAGGAGAGAAAGCACATTTTTCTACACGTGTATAATTAAAAACCATCTCCACAGATGGTTTCCTAGGACCCAGGGTTCTCTCTCCAGCTCTGCTGTGTTCTCTGTGTGGTTAACACAGCACACTTTTGATAAGAGTATTTTTATAAGATCATTTGTTTTAATCTAAGCATTTATCATTATATGCAAAAGCTTTCCTGATGAGAATACTGTAGATGGTGCATGGTTTTGACGTTAGCATTTTATTTGGATGACCGATCTTGCAGATGTGAAATGTCAATGAATTATTCATGAAATTGCTTTCTTCCAAAATTTTAGTTTGGCTCTTCTTGTCAGTTATTAAGCACTTTGTTTTTTTTTTTTTTTTTTTTTTTTTTTTTTTTTTTCCTTATCAACTTTGGTGAAGAAGAGTGTGTGCTCCCTCTGACAGAGCAGGCCCTTCCACCATTCCTCAGAACCTTTCTTCAAACAGCTTCCCTTAGCCAGCTCACCAGGCTGACCCAGAATCTGGCAGCAAGCAGCTGCTGCTAAGAGTCAGCTTGCGGCATGTGCCTGCCACAGGGTCTCAGCAGGTCAGAAGTGGGGGGAAAAAAACTTAGGCTGTGGCAACTTTGTCTACCAGTGTGAACAACCAGCATTTTTATTGCATTTGAGAACGCTCTCCATGTCAGTCAATAGTACTGACTACACAACATTTTTTTTTTATTGTCTGCATCCACAGACATGGAATGATGGAATTACAGTTGATGTCAAGGAATGAGATTCTTTTATGCCTTATCGAAACAAAACAAAACAAAACAATCCTTGTTAGTGGCAGCACATATACAGAGAGCACCACGCTCACAACCCAGACCGCACCATCTCCACCCAGGCTCCTGGGTAGCAGGGACTGCATCAAGTTACAGTGGACCCATGAGACGCCGTTGGAATTGTCCATTTGCTTCTCAGGATAATAAAGTGAAACCAAATTGCAAAACACTTCCAGACTGTCAGGAGGGTATGGCATTGACCAAAAGGTACCAAAAGATTCGAAGTCATTAGCAGAGTCTGCTTTGTGCCCTTGGAGACAGAGCTCAGCTAGAATGTGGAAAAGAGGAGACTTTCAGTTTGATTTTGTGTGTGATCAAAAAAAGAAGAGCTAGTGATTTACATTACATTTTGGTTCTATTATGTTGTTTATCTTTTAAACCAAGGCTTGCTTTATTATGGCTAATGGGATGCTGGGAATGTCAAGTCAACTGTCTTGTGAAGTGGGGAGGGCACTGGCAGCTAGGTCACCATGTACATAAGTCTTGATGGTTCACCCTTTGCTGCCCCAATACGGCAGCCTAAGTCTTTTCACATGGATAGACCCTAGGGACAACAAGGGTGGGTCCTCACCAGGACTGTGTGTGCCTGACACATGGGCCCACCTCCCTCCTGTTTGCTTGATCCTTACTAAGAAAAAAAAGAAAAGAAAAATTAACAAACTGTCTTTACACCTTGGGACCTTGTAAAATTTTTTTATACAAAAATTTCAGTATTTTCAACACTTCCCATTATTAATCACTACTTTACTGATAAAACTTTGAAAGTGTGACCCTGGAATTTCATCATGCAAAAATATTGACTGCAGCAGGAGAGAACATCTTTTTTAAACAACTTTTTTTTTTTTTTTCTCTTTTCAAACTTAGGACTTAATCAAGAAGGCAGTGGCAGGGTAAACACAAGGAACAGGAATGTATCAAAAACAGATTCACACACACACACATTCACACACACACACACACACACACACACACACACACACAATCACACACACACCCCACCCCACAAACCTGTACAAAATGTTTCAATTAATGAGAATAGGAAACAAATTATGTCAACTATGTTACAATTTAAAAGCCAAAAAGGAAAAAAAAAAAGTGTTCTGGAGTTTCTTCTTTCCTCCTACATGTCAACATGTCACCCAATGTTCGTAAATCAAGGGTAATGAAATAAAATACATGTGCAGCATTGACTGCAAATCCATTACATACAGTAGATTTTTACCCCCAAAGATACTGTGGTTTTCTTCTGTTTTAAAGTATCATTAATAAAATGCAGTTGCACAAAAAGCAAAGATGTTTTGACAAACAGGTATATGCATTTATTCCTCTTTAGGAACAATACCTAAAAAATAAAATAATTAAAAAAAAAAAGAGCTGCCCTTGGCCCTCCCCCACAAAAGACAAAGATTCACACAGACACATCGGGATATATGTACAACCGAATCAACCCCATTCTAAAGAAGCGACCACAATCCTCCCCCCAAGGGACAGAATCAGAACTGTAAAAATCAGAGTGAAGATTGCTTGCTGTAAAGCCTGAGAACTTTTTTTTTCTTTTTCAGTTGGTTCTTCTGCAAGGCTGTGACACCTGCAAAGATATGTAAAATCTAATTTTTCTTTTTCTTTTTTTTTTTTTTTTTTTTTTTTGCTACAGTCTTTAGACTAAGCATGCAAGACATACGACTAAGTGCAACTGAATGAAATGTATATTTTTAAAATTTTTTAATCATTCCCTAAAGGTTTGAACTGAGGTATGCGTACTAACAGTTCTCATGCTGTTATCTTTACTCATGTCTAGCTACACATGCTGAGAATGAACTAATCTACCAGATTTTTATCCTCTTTTGAATATCTAACCAGCAACCACTCAGTTTAGAAGCACAGGCCCCCTTCCCATGACCCTGCCTGGCTACTGCCTGCACATCATGAAGCTGCCTGGAAAAGTGGGGGGTGGAGGCATGAGTAACCACAGATGCCCCTGAAGGAAGGCAGAGCAAAGCTTCAGAAGTAATTGCCAAAGACGTTCTATTCTAAGCTAATGAGTGGATGGGAATGTTACCTTTTGTGTGTGTGTGTGTGTGTGTGTGTAAATGAAAAATGCTGACCAAATCATAATCTGAGAAAGGAAAAAGAACAAAAAGCAGAAAGAATCTAGAACTAGAGGATATATATGCCAAGATAAAACAAAACTAATGCAGTGATTACAGCACAGCCTTTAAACAAAAGTGGCATACCAATGTTCTAAAAAAAAAAAATATTTTTATTCTAGAAGTGGCCTAGTGCAGTCAGACACTTTTCCGTTCTCTCTGAAGTCATCCTAAGTGTCTCCTTGATTTACACACTAATTTCAGCATCATACATTCATTTCTTTTTCTAAGATGGTAACCCATTCTTTCTGTAGGAGCTATAATACTGTTTTCCTGTTCATATTTTTCTTTTCTCTGCAGTAGCCCCATATTTTCTCCTTACAGGAGTTAGTTTTGGTCTCTGTACAAGTACAGGAAAGGAAAGGGAAAAAAAATAGAAAAAAGTAAAAAACTTTGGTTCCATTGCCTACTTAGTCTGCTAAATGAACTCTGTTGGAGGGGTAGTTATTTCCCTCCGGTTGGCAAATAGCCTGGACCTCATCATTTGCCTCTGAATCCTTTTGCCTCCTTTGATCAACAATAAGAGGATATTTGGCTTCATCAGATAAAGCATAAAAGAAAATAATTTACCTTTGCGCAATATCTTTGGTAATTTTAGAAATAAAAGGTACAAAGTATATAAATTAAGCTTCGAAAGGCTCTCCAACTAAACCCAAACGAAAGCTACAGCCCTAGATAAATAAACGCCAGGGAAGTGGGTGCAGATGGGGTGTGGAGGGGTTTGAAGGGTATACCAACCTAGAGCCATTGCATTCTGTGGGCCCTTGTTCCAGGAGCCTCCGTCTGCCTACTGTTATCACCTGTTAAGTTTGTGCTACTAGGGTGGTGTGATTCTATCACACTGCAGAGTGAACTGCAGTGCCGACTTTGCACACTGGAAACCCACACATCAGCATCTACTGGGCTCAGTGCTCATTAGCTCCCATAACAAGTTCAAGGTGAAGTCTCATTTGCATTAAAACAGATGAACGCCACCAAGCTGGTCTCAACTGACTGCAAACTCAGCGCTGTCACCATGGTGAGTAAAGTTAGTTAGGGAAGCTGGCTTTCTTTTTGGTCATTTTGCAAACAAAGCAACCCATGCTGGTAAGGACAACAGAGTCTGTGGTCCTGGCCACTTGCTTATAGGGGGGAGAGCCTTCCATGGTCATCGTGCCAGTCTAATTATTAAGGGTTGTTTACTCTTTTCATTGTCTCTCTTGGCTGTGTTTCCTGATGCTGAGAGAGTGTGGCAGCAGTTACTCACAATGGTGGGCACAATGAAAAGATCTCGAACGTTCCCATCCCACCCCAATACTGCTCTGTGAAATGAATCTGCTATGTTCCTAGAGTATGTGCGTGTGTTTCTCTCTCCTTTTCTGTCAACCCCTTCTCCTTCGGGCAGGACACCATGTCCCTGTGAGAGGACCTTCAGATGTAAGGTGCAGCCTTTGGGATCTTTTCTCTTTTCTTTCTTTCTTTCTTTTTTTTTTTGAAAAAAAGACCAAAATGGAATGTTTTGTTTTGTTTTTGTTATTTTTTTTTTTTAAACTTGAGAGAAACGTGGCAATGCCTATAGGAAAATGGAATGAGTGCCGGAAAACTACAGACGAGAAATGACATTCAGCTTTGTATAATAAAAACACCTATTAACATTCATCACAAGGTACAGAAAACGTGAAGCCTCCAAGAGGCCATGGGCCCAAATGGAGGCCTGAGGTCAGAACTTAAAATGGTACAGAAGAAGAAAAGGAAAAAAAAAAAAAAGAGCAATACATTAAAAAGTTTGGGATAATTATTTTTAACCCCTCCCCCCAATAAACACACAAAGGCCTTCCCCATCCCAACTGGAAGCAAAAACAAAAACAAACAAACAAAAAAGAAAACCAAAGTGAGTGAAGGCAGTGATATCAACATGCAGTGCTGTGCAAATAGGTCGTCCACTGGAATCTGGAATTCGGGCGAAGGCTTGGTCTGCGGCCGGCGCAGGTGCGCGAGCTCAGTCGGGTGTCCTCGGTGGGTGTCGGCCTTGGCAGGACAAAACTGCAGTTCAAAGTCTGCTGCGAAAAGTGAATCCGTTTACCGAATTTACAACACTGATGTTGACTCAAAGAGGAAAATCCCAAGTACCAAACAGGTCCATCCAATGCACAGAGTACAAATCCCTTTTGTCAACAAAAAGTAGAAAAATCAAAAATACTCCCAAATGGGATTCTTGATGGCACTAAGAGTTAACACATTTCAGAGTTGTCAAAATGTAGCGAAAAACCCTCCAGACCGTACAACGAGCGGAGAACGGCTTCACTGCTAACTTCTGACCTGTTTTTTTTTTTTTTCTTTTCTTTTTTTTAAATTTGTTTTGTTTTGCTTTTTTTCCCAATCTTCGGTCTCGGGGGTCGGCCCGCCCAGAGGTTCACTCCATGTCCTCATTTACTGGTTCATCTTCATAATCTCTGTCATGGTCAAAATCTGGACTGTGGTTGGCTGTTGTCACTAAGGACAGAGGCCCTTCTGCTTCCTCGGGGTCAAGGGGTTCCTCTTTGACGTGTACGGGATGCCTATATATAGAGAGAGATAGAGACAGATATGGAGATGGAGATGGGGGGGGGGGAGAAAACAGGCTTAGAGGGGCATCTGGATTGATGTATAGCCGGAGTTGGGGCAACCTAGAAGACGCGTCCTACAGCAATGACACTGTCCTGTAGAGACAGAGTGACCCTGGCCACATGTGTTTTCAAATATAGTGGGAAACTTGCTATGACCTTATATCTGTTGATATTTTCACTGCCCACATCCCAAGGGTCTAGGGAACCACATGTGGCTAGGGGCTTCTGGACTGCTCAGTATAACAGCACTGGTGCTCAGAGACCCTTTGGACATCTCTGTTTTAGGAAGGATTCTGGACAGAAATCACTTCTGCTTTTCAGGACACACAAATTACTGGACGACCTTGTGACAGTGCAGTGTATGGAGCTCAGACTCTCTGTTTCTAAGAGATTCAGGGTGATGGTGCTAATCCCAGGACCACACTTTTGAGTGCCAAATAACAGGCCCCATAGCGACATCCTGGGTGGATGAATGCCACCCTGCAAGTAATTACGTGAAAGGGGAATCTGTAATACGGCAGTGGTTCATGGGGACCACTGAGCACAGGAGGCTGGCTGGGCTAATCATGACTTGCTGTGTGTTCTGCTCTGCTAGTTAACATGCAGAACCTATGAAAGAACCCTCCAGAGGACGACCCCAAGTGAGGGCCTATCATTAATCAACTTCAAGCAAACACAGCAAAGAGACACCATGATACATGCTTGAAGCTCCAAATTAATGCATATTTTTACAAACTGTCAATAAGGCAAGAAAAGCCCTGCCAGGAAACACAAACGGAAAGGAAAAGGCTTGCTCAACACAAGGGTGTGATAAGAGAGCAGAGCCCCAATCAGAATAATAACACTGTCAGCTGTAAACAAGGCAAAACATGAGGCCCGGCTGGTAGCCGCCACCGGGACGCTCTAGCTACCTTGAGAGCTGCCAACTTTCTCATTATGGACTGGGGCTCGGTTCATCTAAAGGGGGCTGGCATGATCACACAAGACCACTCTGATAACAACTGTGAAAAGCTGTTCGTAAATCATATTTACAACTGATCTCTTGCAAATACAAATGACTTTCTGTTGTGGGGGGCCTTTTGATATGTAAAAGAACCATTCAAGTTAAAATGTGCCCATCTCTGAGACACGCTGCAAATGGGAGGGACTTATATTGGACATTATCAAGTATTAGTAATAAGAGGTGGTACCAGAGATTGGCTGGCTTCCTAAATAATTGATGCTGTATGCAAGCCCCAAAGGCCCCAGGAACCATTTAAAAACAAACAGAGGCCTGCCCTGGAAGACAGGAACCTTCAAAATCAATTGACACTAAAATTAGCACAGCATAAAGGGAGTTGGGGGGGGGGGCTAGATGTCAGATAAATAGCTTTAAACAATTATACCCATATTCTTACATACCATTTGTACAACAAACCAGAGATGCACAGTATATTTTATACATGGGTCCTTGGCTATTTAAAATTCTTAATAGTCGTGCTTGTCTTTGTTTCTGAAATAAGGCCTAGGCCTAGCTATCTAGTCTGCAGAGTTCCTGAATGGAAAATATTCACTTCAAGAGGAAAATCAAATACTGCAAAGAGGGCAGTGTCCTTCCATGCTTGGGGTACCATGTCACTGAACACGTCACATGCCTGTGTAGTCAGCCCCGATTATGGTTACTGCCAGTCCCTCACTTCCCTTTGGGAACATATTATTACATGCTTTAGACACAGCAGGAATTATTTTCTTACTTTTGTGTATTTTGTCAGGCATTCTGCAGTCCCTTCCTTCCCCTCCGATGTTTGCATAGTACAGTGAGCCACTGCTAGCCATTAATCTTTCTCCTTCTGTTGATTTACCTCCTTGGGATAAATGTCTAAGAATGCAATTGTTGGAGCAGAGGCCAAAACATCTTTATGGCTCTCCTGATTTATTGGGATATTAATTTGCAGAGGGGTGCTATCAAGTGAGACTCGATGTCAGTGCCCCAAGTGTTACTTTGAAAGAACAGTTTGTGGTCTCACAGGTGTGCGGTATAATCCGAGTTACCTTAAACCACACCCCCTGCATTACCAGCCACATCAAATGTTTAGTTCTGTCTCCTGATTTCACTACAGGGAAAACTGTGACTTTACCAATCATTCCATGAACTGACTGTGGGCTTGGTAATAATGTCCAGCAGCAGGAATTTGCCTTTTAAAAACATTTTTTTAAAGCAGTTACTGAGGCTCAACTGCTATTCTCCAGAATGCCACTTTTCAGCTTAAAATTTTTAAAGCTATAATACTTAGTACTTAAAAATCTCTGGTTTCCAAGGTGCAGTGTTACACAAAGTCTCAGAGGTATGGATCGGAAACGCTAGGAAAATATAGACTCATCTTAACTCGTTGTTGTTGCTTTACAACTGTAAATCATGGCCCCCAACAACAAGAACAACAAATGGAAGGCTTTCCCCAAATGAGGGTTCTTAACACCAGAGACTGTTCTGTTCTCCCAAAAAACTCATTGAGTATTTACTGTGCCCCAGACACGGGTAATGATGCTGACACATCTACATGGTCTAGCCTAGCGCTTAGCATAGAATGGATGGATGGATAGCCAACAAATACCACCAACAAGATCTGCTGTGCAACGACCTACAAGTCTACACCAGACATGACAGTAAGGGTTCTTTAGCTTTCCATGTAAGATTCAGACTGTCGTTAAAGGCTTCCCTCCCACTGGGCATATACATAGTGTGCCAGCTACAGAATAGGGCTAAACAGTGGGTGCCTCTCTTAAGCCCCCTACCAGGCCTACTATTTCCAAAAGGGTTCCCAATGAATAATGGAGCAAAATACCATCTCTCTGTTCCCCTTACATCTGAGTAATCCTTTTGTACAGCCTTCCTGGAAACACAAGGGTTTTTAAATTATAGACAACTAGTGTTTCAAGGCATTGTGTCCCTCCCTGTTCAGGGTATACACACATCACAGAGCCTTTGGTACGGTGGCCCTTTAGCTCCTACTGGAATGAAAATATGCTGCCCCCAAATCATTATTATGTGACTACCTTCTACAGGGTTTTTTTTTTTTTTTTTTTTTTTTAAGAGAAAGGCAATGCTGTGCTTTGTATCACAGCAAAGTGAAGAGCAGGGAGCTGTATTACAACACCAGCTTCCTAACAGTGTCTTGTAAGCCTTGCTGTAAAGTTTATGGCTTGATTTATTCCAATAGACTGGAACAGTTAAAAAACAATTTGCATCCTAGCAGGGTAATGCACACTGGACAAGAATGAAATCTCTGTCATTACAGAACTCACTTAATGGAAGTACGGGGTCAGCAAGTCTAACTGGCTATGACACTGATAGGAACACAGTGAAGCTGTTGTGGGCACAGAGCACCACGGGGGGCACATGGCGAAAACCTGATGTGTGAGCATCACGCTTTGATAGCACAATGCAGGGGCTTTCTCTCTCTCTCTCTCTCTCTCTCTCTCTCTCTCTCTCTCTCTCTCTCTCTCTCTCTTTCAAGCAGTTGAGCCTTTGTTTTGTTACACACTAGGATGACTGCTGTAAAACACAGTGTTTTGGTACCTCTGCAGTTCATTCACTCTTGTTAAGCAACTGAACTTCCATCTCCATGAACCAACCTACCTTTCCTTCCTTCCCCATGCTTTCTTTCTTTTACATGGATTACACCTTGAGTTTGAATAGACTGTAAAAAAAAAAAAAGCGCTGTGCCTTCCACTCAGTAACTTCATATAGCCTTCCTCAATGGCTGTGTCTTAGAGTGGCTCTTATGCCTGAACTTTAATGTTGTTCTGACAAACTGTCCCAACAATGTTGAATATCGGTGAGATAACAAAAGAGTCAGAAACACCAGCTTGCTTTAGGGAAGATGAATTTGGTGGCAGTAGTGGGAAAGACACACACATTCCTAAAATGCTAGAATGTCAGTGCTGTCAGACTATGCCCACAAACTAAAAACCATCACCCCACCTCTAAAGATCCCCTTTAGAGCACTCAGGGCATGGGATTAAAATGCTAGAAAGCAAAATCTTAGATTTCCCCAGAAGGCTACCATTCCCCCCCCCCTTTCACTATATGCCAGTTTGTTCCGTGTCTCCTTGTTAAAGGTCACATTTTCCATTCCCGTCCCTTGAATTTCCTAAAATAAGATGTTGGTCAGTAATCCAGAAAGAATGTGCAGACAAGTGGCCTATTCTTGGAGCGGACAGCACTGGAAAACACTGAACTGGTTTAGTCCCTCAAAGTGGGCCATGGCTTTGGAGAAACTCGCTGAAAAGGGAGACTGCCATTAGCCGCTCTTTCTTTTCTGTTTTTCAACCCTTCCTAGGAACAAAAGAGGGGCTACGGCAGAGGCGGTAGTTTTCAGCCTTCACCTGCCACAAAGGGGCACCCCACCCGGGTGGCCTTGTTGAGATTTGTGTGGTCCCTGTGCCATTCGCATCCAGCCCAGGCGACCATCACCCATTGCTTCACTCGGTTATATGTGCTCTCATTATCCTGCCGTCTGCTGCTGTAATGCTCCTATTAATTTTCCTTTTGATATTTTAAGAGCAATCTATAAATCATGCCTCCTTTCATGTGTGCCATCATTAATGCTTGGTAATAATGCTGTGGTGTCGAGCTCAAGTGGTTAAACTTAGCGCACGACCACGTAAACATGCATCTTTTCCCGGGCTGGGTTCGGCTTGCCTGGAAACTGAACACACCATGGGCTTTCTCAGAGGTGTATGCTGACTTTTAGAGGAAAAAATCACAGTGTGACTTAAAAAATGGTCTGAGACACAAAGTGGAGGGACTGCTCATTTTCTTGCTGTGCACACTTACAGTGGATGAAACCCATCTATCTCTTTTATGAGAGAGCTACTAACTAGTTCTTTTATGCACTAACAAGTGACACTGAGGCTCTTAAGGAATCAGAAATGATCAGAAAGGTATACAGAAGGGCCGGAGAGGAGCATCCTTGAACATTTAGCAGGGAGACTGGGATCAGGTGACAAAGAGCTCTGGGTGGATGGTACTCACACAGCTTGCATAGGGGATCTGCCCGGACTGCTGTCGCTCTCGTTGCTGTTGGTGTGCTCCATGGCCCCATTCAGCTCCTCCCCGGATGGCACTGGCCAGGTTGCCCAGAGTGGGATTTCCCATGGAAGCGGTAGTGTACAGAGGTATGCTATTCTCAGCCATGGAAGCCTGCATCAACCAAAAGAAACCCAATGAAATTGTAGGGGGAGACAAGACAAGAAAGCTCTGTGTTAGGAACATGTGGTGTGTTTGACCGCCTGTGATTCAAGTTCACTGTATCATGGCTGACAATTTCCAGGAGCTGTGAGATTTTGCTTGAGAGCTGTAGGAGCCCTGGACTTCATTTGGATAAGCTATCTGAGCACTGCTGAGTCCATGGGTGAAGTTGCCTGCTGGCCCTGCCTTGTGGAGTCATACAGTTTAGACAAAAGTATTTAATATGAAGTGTATATCCAATGCCTTTTTTTTTTTTCAAGAAGAACTGAATATTTCCAGCTCATAGTGAAATATAATGGAATTTTCATTTCTTTATCCACTTTGATGACTCCACTATTGGATATCCAAGAGTTGATCAGATTATATGGCCACATGGCTCAAATTTATGAGAACTTCCATAGATACCCATAGTAAAGGAGGAGGTTATAGAACCGGAATCGCTTTTTCTCTCCCATCATTCCCATTTTAATGATTTTTGAACCTGCTTAGTGAAGGTTGACATAACCAGATGAAGGCAACACCCTAGGCTTCCAGCCTCGGACCAATGATGGAGGACTTTGAGAGCAAAGAAGAATCTCTAACAAAAAGAGAGGCTAAATCTTATTTCCTTTCCAACTAAGTATTTCAATATTACAGGTGACAAAGTCATTCTAAATATGAGTGTCAGACAAAAAAAAGAAGGGGGGGGAGGACCACTCCCTACTCCCCCCAACTCAAAAAGAAGCCCACCCCCAAACTCAAGTTTGACAGACTACTGTTCATTTTCTGTCACACCAAATGTAACTATTATGGCCACACTGTCTACAATGTGGACAATTGTCCAAAAATACCATGGGACTAACAGAACCCCATTTATTTCACTTGGGTAGGAAGTGTGCCCCAGTGACTTCTCATTTTATTATTCAGGAGGACAGACTTGGAAAAAGAGGCAGCTGTAATTAAGATGAAGATTTATCAAAATTGTCTTCTTGCAGACTACACTATGCCTGGTTTTCCATCCTAATGAGAGAGAAGTACGATCACAAGACAATCTGGCAGAGTGGCTTCAGTTGGCCCATCATGTGAGAGTCCTAACTATTCTAGAAAAGCTGGCACCACAGAGAAGGTATGAGCCAGGAACAAAGGAAAACAGGAGCGGATCCGGGCTGCAGTGAGTCTGCCTCTTAGTCAGTTACAGTCCTGCTCCCGTGTAAAACCCAGCGTCTCCCTCTTTCCCCTATGGACTTCTCTTTTATAAGTCAAGGGAAGAGGGTACCATCTCCCTGCCTTCCCAGCGTGGTGACCAATGCCCATACTTCTGTGGCATGTTGGATAATCTGCTTGCATCCAGCATCTTTTATAAAACCAATAAAACATTTCTATGCTTTCTGGGCACAACAGTTGGCAAAGTAATATTACTGCCAGCTGCAGCCGGGCTGCCATCTCTAGCTGCCTTATGTGAGCCTACATAGTGGTCACCCTCCCCTGCCATGTAAGTACTGCCTGGACTGTCAACTGTGTAGCCCTCTCTCTGGAAGTACCATGGGATCTGCTCTCACTGAACATGTTGCATGTTAAGGATGGAAAGAAGCTGATGCCATTGTTACCTTGATAATTTATTGGATTCTAAAGTCCCAGACTGAGAAATAAAAACCATGGAAACAACTAGAGTCTATTAGGATGAGTGTCTGTTATTCTTTTTTATTCTCAAAATATTATGGGTAAAAGACACTTCTGATTGTAAAGACCTTGTCTTGGTCCTTTAACTCTCAGACACAACCTAAGTACAGAGAACCAGTCTTGTGCCTTTAAACAAAACACTAGCCACTGGGCTACAGTAAGATCCTGGAGCCTGGTCTACCACCATGACTCCTGAATACTCTTTTTGCAGAGTGAAGGATCAGAGCAACTCACAAATTATCACCTTCTAACAGGTCCTTCCTGTAGCTGATGCTCTTAGGAGCAGGTATGTCACAACGTTTATAATGGACTTAATTACATAAATGATCCTAGGCACAGTATGTGGCTTCATATCAAACCGGCACCTCTGCAAGGAACACAAAGGTTCTTAAGTGATGGCACACGAGTCCGTAAGTACCAGTGTCTGGAACGTTAACTGCTCTGAGCTCCCCGGGGAAAAGGCAGTCTATAAATATGAAGCTTTACAGTTACCCGTAGTTACTTCTCTTTTTCAGAACATAATGCAATCTGTCCCAAGCCCCATGTTTTATTTCTGTAGTGGATTCTGCTGTCCTATTTTATAAATTGTATATCATGCCGTTATGTCGCTCTAGTAATTTTTTTTTTTAAGATATTGTTGCACTGTTATTTTTACTCGCCGTGAAAAATGGAAGTGGGTGATAATGGAAAGGAAGGCCTGCTGGTGGGGTCTTTATTTAATTTGCATGGCAGGAAGCTGTCTTGTATGATTGGCTGTCTGCTGGTGGGGAATCCAAATTCAAGAGGAGGGGCCAAGGAGATACTCCTTAAAGAGTTCCTGGAAAGCTGCAGGACAGTTCTGGGTGAGCAGGGAGACACGAAGTGTGCAGTGCGTGCAAAAACAAAGGTTTGGGAGATGAAGCATGAACATGTCTGTAACAAAGCACGCTAATTGAAGGCAGTCACATAGTTAAGGGAATCCAAAGGACAGGGCTCCTTGCTTATTTTTTTCCCCCTTTCTGCCTCGTGAATGTAAAATGTGCTTGTAATTTTAATACCCATCCAGATAAAGCTGCCTTTAAATTCATACTTCACAAGACTCCAGGGAAAATAAGTTACTAATGCATGGTATTTACAGAGGCAGCGTGTAAGCGGGCTTTCATTTGCTCTTCTAAAGTTACTACGTAAACCACAAGTAATTAAAAGAAATGCAGAGAGTAGTTTCTCCTAGTAAATTTGGTTCAGGCTAAAAAGAAATAAATAGAATTACTGAGATGCTCAGTTCAGCGGGTCTGCCTTGAACTGTATAAGGGGCACATTATCCTCAAGGAGCCTGAGGATGCCACGGGTGAGCTAGGAAGACAGGTCTGTGGCAAGCAGAACAGGGGCTCAGTCAATATTTGTTTAGTAAGTGGTGAGAATCAGGCTGCTGTCAATGCTCTTCCTTCCCCATCCAGTTCCCATAATGCCACATGTTCCGAGCCTTTTCCCACTGGCATCCTTCTGGGGTGTTTGCTTCTCTATTCCTGCCTTTACTTGGGCTTTTCTGAAGGACCATAACACTTCCGAGACATCACAGACTCCAACAACCAATTCTGCTGCAGTATTCACACTGAACAGTGCTAGAAGTGCGTGATTGCTAAAGCAAGATAAGTGGCCTATCTGATGTACATGTTTCAAGATTCTTTTTGTCCTAGCTTTTTAGAATAGTCGAGGGTAGGTCTTTTTTTTTTTTTTTTTCTTCCTTCCTTCCTTCCTTCCTTCCTTCCTTCCTTCCTTCCTTCCTTCCTTCCTTTCCCTAAACAGATAGATCCTGGCTACCTCTGAGCTCTTAAGGGAGATCTGAGTATGGCATTAGGTATTTAAAAGAAGTGATGCCAGATGCACTGTTAATCTTAGAAATAACTTGGTGGTGTGGTAACTGTGAGAAACAAGAAACTCAAGACTGGCTAGACACCTGGGTCTTTCCTCCCGTCACTCACACCCAGGGCAAACACCTTCTAGGACCTGCATTGAGGTAATATGTGCTTTATTTGCCAGCAGGGAAAGAAACATTGTGTATGATGATGATTAGGTTTTCCTGAACAACTGTCTGGAAACGTCTACTTTCCTGCTTAAGCAGTTGACTTACACAAGAAGAAACAAACCCAGACCCCACTCCCACGGAAAGAAAAGGTGTTGAAATGGACTTTAATAAAGCCTCGCTTTCTCTTTAAACCTGTGAACAATGGAAGGTCATGTGACATGGTGGCCTATCATCCAGCACATTAATAGCTGTGCTAGAGTAATTACACTTGTGGTATTTTTGCCTCAAGTGAAATTCTGAAAATAAGACGATGGAAATTATGATACTGCTGATAAATATTAATAAGTGAACTTTTAATTTTTTTTTTTTTGCCACAATATTCAAAATGCTGAGCATCCTGCTAACGCTGAAGCAGCCCGATGTGTTTGCCTCCGGGGGAGAACGATGCTTTGCGCACTTAAGAAAAAAAGTTTAACGGAATTAAAATTTAATATCTAATTAGAGTGAGGCTAATATATTTTGGAATGAGTGGGGGAGCTCTGCTCCTGTGCTGCGGATTGGGGATGGCCGTTAATCTTACCTGTAAGGCTGCATTGAGAGGTGTGCAGTAGGCGTGGCTGCTCTGCATGTTTTTAATAAGGGAAGGGTTACTGTGTAAGGAAAAGATAAAGACTCAAAGTTAAATGCAATCCACCCATGGGTCCATGGTCAGTTTTGTCTTTAAGCTTGCTGGTAGCCTTTCCACATTAGAAATTCTTCCCCCCTCCCAGTCACCAAACTGAAGGGAAAGTTAGAGCTTATCTGTGTCTGGGGATCGGTCTGGTGAAAACCTTTGGGGATGGACCTAGCTGCTCACCCCGGAGAAGCTGTCTTGTATTATAACACATGGGTATTTCCCTCAGAGGCCAATCTGCAAAGGGGTGGCTGCTGCCCACACTCCAATAGGAAGGAGAGAGCCTGGCACAGGGCAGGCTGCCTGGCACTGCACAAACAGTCTCTGCTAGGAGGCTTCACTCTTAGTTGAACTTGACCCTGACGGCTGGGGGAATAACACTATTATTCCTACATTGTAAAGCAGGAGCTTAGGCGGTTGCCTTTCCTGCACAGCCCAGTCTGAGAGAGCACACTCTAATTTGGTGTTATTTCTGTTGAGAAGGTAAAAGGAGACAAGATACTTTTTTTTTCTTTAAGAAAAGCATCTCTGCCCTAGTTAAAACAAAAACAAAAAATACTACAAAATTATACTGGACATACTGAGGGAAAAGCACGGCTTCCAGTAGGTAATGAGGTTCATTTATCAACAGACTTTGAAGGAAATGACATTATCAATCTTTTCCCTGTGCTTAGGACAATTTGGTTTTCAGTTTGGGAGACAGGTCTCTGGACAAAGTCCAGGCTGTGCTGGAGTGTGCAGCCCTCCTTCCTCGGCCTCCTGGGGGGGGGCTGTCATTACACGCACTCACCCCTATGCCCAGCTTGCTAGGCATATTCTTAGTTATTCATATTTACTATTACTTGATTGTTCACACAGAGAACACCAGACATATACTGCAATCATCACTTCCTTTCATTTGCAGGGGTTGGGGTAACACAGGAAATACCTAGCTGTGAGGGTCCCCGTAAGCTGCTGAATCAAAATACAGTCAATCGTTGGCATTAAAGACATTAAAAAAAAAAAAAACAAAAACAAAAAAGCATCATTCTAGGCACTGGCGTTCCAAAGAGAAACGAGCGAGGTACATGTACAAGTCACACCATTTAGTTTCTGTTGCAGAGAGCTGTGGCACTGCTCTGGGGTGAGATGTCATACTACATGGGATGAGTCAACCATGCAAAGCCAAAGCAACAGCAGAAACAAAAGAACAAAGCAAGTAAAGGCTCTTACTGTGCGCCAAGCTCGTCAGAGTTTTCACCGGGGCAGTATTTGCGAGGACGGCCTCGTTGAATATGGCGGCCACGTATAAACTCTTCATCATCAACTGTCCAAAAGGACCCAAACTCATCCTCTACTCTGATAAAGCACTTATGCAGTGAGAGGTTGGTGCGAATGGCACCCTGGGATAGGAGCAGCAGCAAAGGAGATGGAGTGGCAACAAAAGGAGACGGGGTTGGGGGCGGAACAGACATCCAATACAGGGAACAGGAAAAGAAAATAAAATGCAATAAGCATAAGCAAATGGCTTGTGAGGGTTAATATGCATCGCCGCCTAAAAGCTACTAGCATGTGATGTAACAGAGACCAGCAAGCAGGGGCAGGGGGACTGGTGGGTATACGAGACAGGAGGGATGAAATGCTCTTTTGCTTCCCTTAACTGAGACAACATGGAAACCAGTTCTTTGGTCTGACGCCGCCTAGCAGCCTCTACGTTACACTTGTTAGCACAATCCGAGCTGGGCTAAGAAGTTCAAACATGGCGGACGTACCCACTGATCTTTTGTGGCCTCCGTTTTTGGAACTCTACTTCATCCACTGTCCATACTGCCCCTTTAACGTTCTCTACTCGCACAAAACACTTGTGAAGACTAAGATTATGACGCACTGCATTCTGCAGCAAGTATAAAAGAGAGAACATTGACATTTTTTTTTCTATAAGAAAAGACTCAAAAAACAAAAAAAAAAAAAAAAAAAAAAAAAAATAAAAAGCCAAAAACACAACAGTACATTAGGCCCCCCATCTGTAAAACCATCCTCCAGAGCTGTAGCCACCCCACCCCCACCTCGTGGAGAACTTTCTATGAGTGTCTTTTCCAAGAAAAACCCCAAATTATGGTCTAATAGTACTTTGGCATTGAAGCCTAATATCTGGTACCATGTGATAGATGTTACACTGGTAAATATGCATGCAAGCCCTAAGCAGGTTCCTCCACATAAATCTAAAATACTGTTAAAACGATGTCAAAATCAGGAACTGTATAAAGTATAAAAGCTATTCTTTACGACCCATCTATGTGGGATTCACAAAAGGGTGTTTATTTTTAAATCATGAAAGGTGAACACTTTGAAATACATAGCAATGTCTGGCTTAGAAACCATGTATAAGCTTTATTAAGGGAAAGTTTAAAATAGGATTTTACCACTGAGAGTACCATTGTGTATAGCCAAGATGATTAGGGGCGACCTGAGCACCAAGAGATCTGTCTCAACCATCAAGCTAAGCCTTACCTTCCAGAATGTTTATGAACATGGTAATTACTAGGGGAACATGTTAAAGCAACTGAACAAATGCCAAGAACCTACAAGTAGGACTCTCGGTGGCAAAAAAGACTATGTTCTTGCACTTGGTTTTTACATTTAAAAGTCATTGTTGGCCACTGCTAAGTGGGATACTTCACAATCTAACAAAAAAGATGCTCTTAATTCTTGGGGAGAGCTTTAAATGTCTCCTATTTCCAGGAAAATCCACAACCCTGCCTGGATAACCAAACTGGATAGACTTTAGTCCTGCCTGGCAGATTTCCTGATCTGCACTCCATGAGACTTTCACCATAGACTTGTGATGGTTTTTCTCATACAGAATAAGTGGCTCAGTCCGGGCAGAGGAACTTGACACATCTATTGAGTTTCTGGCACCTTATACCAGCATTGCCATGGCTCAGATAAGCTACACTCTTCTTCTATAGTAATTTGTTCTGTTGGTGGCAAATCTTGAAACTCTGAGAGGCTTTTCAGATTTCTGGACAAGGATAACTGGTGACTAAGAGGATTCAGGTCACCTAAAAGTTTTTCTTCTGTATGATAAAGTACTGAGAAGGTAACAGGACAAATTTGATTGCATATGTGATGATGTGTGCACTAGTGAGATCCACAGAAAGACCTCACAGGGGGCATGTGAGTACAGCTGGAAGTAGATTTGTGATACCAACGTGACTAATCAAAAGATGTCCTTGATTGAAAAACTTTTTGATGAGCTGCTGAATAACAAAACCCTATGCATATAAATGTAACCTAGCTTTTAAGGAAATAATTTCATCTTTATATTTCACAGGGAATTACTTCCTCCAACAGCATGGAGGACACAAAAGTAAATAAAGCCAGTTCCCTTTCCAAATCAAGACAGCACACGGACACACATGTGAGAGATAGCTGGGGAACAAGGCAGCATTAATCACTGCTGGAAATTTTACCTAAGTATCAAAGAATGACTATATATGATTTTGAGGGCATTAAAACAGAAACTTAAAAAAAAAATCAAAAAGCGTTTTGTTTTGTTTTTAAGAATAAGCAAAGATGAATGACTCTCTTTTGTTTTTGTCTTTTAAATCACCATCCCAGTAAGGACACACAGAGAAAATTTTCTATATTGATGAGTCATTGGGTACTTTTATGAGACTGCTTGTATTAGTGATAATTTATCTTTCCTCTGCAAAGCTAAAAAAAGTGAGGAGTTGAAATTCATACTCACAACTGGCAATTATTTTTAAATTTGATCGGCTGGTATTTACAAAAAGTAATTTGAAGAATATGCCTACTTCAAGCTTCTTCTTCTTAAATTTTTAAAAGAGCCTTTGTATTTTATTTCCTGAGGCAGGCTGGGAAAGAGGCTAAGATCTGCAAATACTGTTTCCTGTCAGTCCCCATGGGGCTACTGAATTAATTCTGTGCCTATACTTATTTTCTTATAGAATGCAAGAAAACCAAAATATGTTTCTTTCTATTAAATGAAAGAAGTTGTATCCTGTAATAGTACCTACTGAAATTAAGGATAAGGACAAAGCCTAAATACTAAATGGTACTAAAAGATCTACCTGGCAGAGTATAATAAATTAAAAGTAGGAAGCTGAAAAGATGCTGTGAAGGCTATTTGTGTAGCCCAGCTTGGCCTTGAACTCACAACCTTCCTACTTCTCAAATGCTGGCATTATTGGCATGTACCACCACGCCTACCCAGGAAGGCTTAAGGTAACGTACGGAGTAAGGACCAGTGAAACCTAGAAGGGACTCCAAGCATTTTAGGGGGTTATCTAGCAGAGTTATGGAATTTGACCTGTTCTATGGCAAATGGTGTCATATTACATAGTTGTGAAATGACCTTTCTTCTTCAGGGTAACCGTGAGCACTGAATGGGAAGCCTTGCATTCTTCAGAAACCACCCTAGTTACTGTGAGCACATGATTACATAGCCTCCTCTACCTATGGGGCTGGTGAGCTATGATCTAACCACTGAAGGATCTTAAACAGTTTGGCTGTGTCTCTAGGTTCCTAAATGCAGCCCTGTAAATAACTGTCAGTTACCCGATAATCAATGACATGTGGTTTGTGTAAGCAAAAAGGCCAACCTCAGAGTTAAGGATCAGTGTCCTCTCCTTTCCCTGCAGAGAATTCTCCAGCTGGTTTAGCCACACCTCTCTCATAAGGGCCAGGGGTGGGAGCCTCTTCTATTTGAGCATTTCAACCACAACAAAACCTTTCTCCCAGGCACATTCCCAGTACAAATGGAATATTCTCCTCACCCTGTAACTGAATTTTCCCAACTAGAACCTCTGTTCTATAAAGGTCAAAAGCAAGACTGCAAAGCCTACCTTCCACGTGGCCGCGTTGCGTCGGAAGTAAGCAAACATCCGTGTGAACCAGTTATAGATTTCATTTAGTGTTAGCTGCTTTTCTGGAGATTCGAGAATAGCCTGCGAAGCAAAAGGGATCCAAAGAAGGTAATTTTTATGACCCAAGTGACAGAAGCATTCGACTGTTCATAAAAATGTTAAAGATAAAAAAAAAAAAAAAAAAAAAAAAAAAAAAAAAAAAAAGACGAGCATACAAACTGGGACTTGGAGCAAACTCCTCAGACAGGTTTCACAAAATGATCAAAGATTAATGGTTGTATTTAAACAGTTCAATAGCAAAACTCGAAATGGAATTATCTAATTGTTTGGAGTTTTTATTTCTGTTTCCGTACAGAAATATTAATTTATTAGTCATTCATAAAGCAGAATCAAAGAGAAATGCAAAACATTTCACTAGCTGATTAAAGCTCAGTAATTATTTAGAGCTCAGATTAATTCTAGGGTTCAGAGATTACTGTAGCTTTGTGATAATTGACTTGCCATCTTTAAACAGCCTCATTCGCACTGTTGTGTGAAATGAATTCCCTAATAATCACATCGTATTGTAATACTTAATCAAAAGCAATTATGTTATATATTGCAGTTTTTAAAAACCTTATAGAAAAGGTTTTAGCATGCTTGCATACTAAGTGGTTTTAAATCTACTTCATCAATATGATATACCCAGGAACACCTTTTGGGTAGCATTTCATGGTCTGTGTTATTTACTTACCTGCCTAATTAAAGATGCATATGTAAATGGTGGTCTAACTTCTGCATTCTTATAAAATTCTTGGTTCTGCGCAATATCTGCTAAATATAAGAATCATTGTCCTATTAATGATCACTTTTTAAAAAGGGGATCACTGACAGAACTGCAGATTCCCCATGCCGCCCCGGCAAAGACAAGAGTAGCTACCTGAAGAAATGGGGACGTTGTATTTGTCCGAGTACCGCCTGCGGATCGGTCCCACCGTGTGCATACTGGTGGTGGTGATGACAGAGGGGCCTTGGGTGACAGGAGTTAGCGGGGCAGTTGGGGTCGTGGGGGTGTGAGGTAAGCTCTGTGGAGAAGCCTCTGATGCAGACTTGGAGAGGGTGACACTTGATACCAGATTCAGCTATGAAGAGAACAAGGTTGGTTAGGAGGACTTGAGAAAAGCAAAACCAAAACAAATCAAAGACAGAAACCCCAGCAACCAAGGAAGCCTCTCTCCTCCCAAAGGAAAGACAGGCGGACACCTGCTATGTTTACACAGGATTCACTTCCAATTAAAGGTGTTCTCCTTTGCATGGCAGGGAGGTTGAGGACTGAAGGGACACCAGCTGGGCTATAGTGTAAACCTGGCTTGTCCTGTGCTACTTTCAGTGGTATGCTACCACAACTGGAAAGCTGTACCTACTGCCTCAATATATTCCCCCTTTAAAAGTGTAGCAGATTTGCTAAGTGGCCACTTAGGGCTCTGAGCCACTAGAGACCAGCAAGAAGTTGTAAGACTTGAGTCCATCATGGAGCTGAACAGACTGTGTGGGTGGGACCTGCAGCTCCCATTCAACAGTGGTACTTACTCAGAAGGCCCACATCTATTTCTTCAAAGTTGTAACATTTGGTTACTTTTTAAAGTTTTAAACAGTCCAACTAGAAATGACTATCATCTGAAGAAGTGTAAAGCAAGCAGCATTCGTGAACAACCCATCCTTTCTTCCAGCTCTTACACTATGGGGAGGCATGGCCTTTCTCCAAAATTGACTGGGACAGGAAAACTCCCTTGAGTTTGACAATGCAGAAGAACCTAGTGTTTTTCAACATGTTTATGGAGGTATCAAATACTCAGAGAACTTCTCCAAACCTTTCCCCAAAATTCTACAAAGTACATTCTTACTTGGCCACATTCACCACATTTCAGATCAGTCATCACAACGTCGACTTTGCCACTGTCAGCTTCAACATTAAGCACAAGTATTACATATGGATGGTATTACAGTGAGTCCTTAGCTCCAGTGTACTGGGAAGACTAGATTTTAATTCACACACTAGAAGTGAAAGAGAGCACAAAAATCTTCCCTGTGCAGTAAGCCCCAAGGGAAGAGAATGGAAAGATCTGAACATTAACAGAAAAACCCAAATTTGGTGCTCTGAGTTAAACAGTGGGCTGTGAGCTTCCAGCTCTGCTTTTCTTTCTGTGTTCAGGTTGAAATACTGACTCAGCACACCACAAGCCCCCAGTGTCCAAGAAGAGCAAGCTGGGGAGGTGGCATATACTAGCTGACCTTCAGCAAGCAGGAGCAATGTGGTAAATTACCCTCTCAATGGTGCTAGAAAGTTGACTGTGACACACATTTGCAAACCAAGTGTTAATAGTTCAAAGTAGAGGCCAGGAACAGGGCACAGCAAGGTGCCAACGGAGAAAAGCAAAGGCCAACCTCTTCTTCACCTCAGGCCTTAATAAGTGCCCAAGTCTGGGAACTGTATGTATTAGCATCTGCCAAAGGGGGCGGTGTCAAGAAAATCAGTATAGGAAGAACCCAAATACATCACTTTGATCATTCAGCTGCTGTAATGCTTAAGCATGAGGAGACTTTGGAAAGTCACGGGTATCATTTACAAAAATATATGTTCTGAAGCACCTGCCCCGAAAGTCTTCCCTTTATTCACACAAATGGCTCACATTTTATAGGGAATGAAGGAAAAGCTTGCCAATATCCTTACCCAGACCCAAAGTCAAACCACATCATTGTGTGCCCTTGTTATTGCTTCTGTACCTTCTACCTGTGTTCAGATCATGTCTAATATCAACACTATAGCCATTCCTACTTTTTTGTTGTGCTCGCTTTTGGAAATGCTTCCATGAACAGCTTTGAACCTTGCTTACAAATGGCACTCAATAAATAATACCAAGAACTTCTAAAGGCCTGGAAGTGGGGCTAAACTACAGAACTTCTGTCCCTGACGTGCTTGGTGTGGAAAGCAGACATAAAATCCAACTCTGGGGTCTCACCCTGGTTCTTGACTTCTCCTTTTATAGCCTAAAAAACACTGTCCCATACACACTGACTTTCTCAGAAAACAACAAAAATGATGAGCACAAGAGTCCACAAGCTCTCTTGCAGTTTGTTAAGGAAGTTTGGCAAGTCCTATGGAACCATCCAGCAGGTATAAACTGAACGCCCAGATCTGAGAAGAACTGATGAATCCATACAGAGACATGCCATTAGATGCGTGCGAATTTGACTCTTGTAGCTTTCATAAGTAGATTAATACTCGAACCAGTTCTGCTGGAGACAGCAACAAGGAAAAAAACAGAGCCTTCCAGGTTTTCTGGGTGGTTTTGAATGTAGGTAGGAACTGGAAATAAACACTGAGCTGGAAGTGAGGGGGTTTACCAGGCTTGACAAATGACACCACGATTCACACCCACTGCTGGGCTGTCTCTAATAAGCCACAGAGGAAGCAGCCAATCTCAGCTAATTACCAGATAAAAATGTATTGTAAGGACTCTAATTAGGAGATGCGGATGGAGGTGATCTAATGATTAAATGGTGCGTTCCACTGACCCCACCATCCATGTGCAGTGGTGCACAATGTCTCTGGAATATTTTGTAGAAACAGTCATTTTATTTCAGGGAGGGGAGACAGTAATATTTGTAATGATGGCTATGAGGTAAACTAATTAAAAGACGGTTCCTAGAGGAAAAGGGTGTCTGGGAGCAGCTGCAGCCATTCCAAACCTAAGTGCCAAGTCTCAATGGAAGGGCTTCAGTCAAGTGGAAAATTTCTGCCTGACCTCTGCCCTTGCTATTAATTTGCAGAAAAACTAATGACACATATACATATTCCCACAAAATTGTTCTAATTGCTAATTTGCCAAAGGAGCCTAGACTCTAAATTAAACATGACTGTAGCCTGGGAGCGAAGAACAAAAAACTGGGAACTCCAAACAGAGCGAGCTTTGCCATGCAAGACCATCAGAAGGGTGGACCCACTACTTAATGACACAACCCTGGCAGCTGCTGCTCAAGTTTCTCAACTTCTATACTTCTGTCTGGTGATCACATGGGTGTCTTGAGGAGAAACCATCTTTTTGAAAAGAAGGATTCAAATTAACACTTCACATCAAATCTACTCTTACAGTGGAAGGTTCTACCAAAAACGTTGAAAATGAAATAATAAAGTGCCACCACAGAGTTAGAAGAGCAAACCCAGCACTCGGGGGTGGGGGTGGGGGCACTCAGTCAGGAAAGAGTTTGCCCAAGGATGGAGGGAACCCTGGTATTTGTTGGCAAAAATAAAAAAACAAAAAACAAACAAACAAACAAACAAAAAATCAGTGTTCAACTGAGTGAGAGATCCTGTCTCAAAAATAAGTTGGAGAAATGATTGAGAAAGACATGTAATATCAACCTCTGACTCTCTCTCTCTCTCTCTCTCTCTCTCTCTCTCTCTCTCACACACACACACACACACACACACACACACACACACACACACCCCAGGAACATGCACACACACTAGAAACATGCACACAGAGGCACATATATAGACACAGATAAAAGAGCATATCAGTGGTGTGAGTTTTTTACTGCTAACTTGAAATATGCACCTTAATTGTAAATTATTAAATTTTTAGCCAATCATCAAGGAGAAAGGAAAACCTCCTTTCTATATCTCTAAGTGTAGGCAAGGATTTAGAAGTGATTTTCTTCCAGGGCATGAAGCAGGAAGGGATTGGACTGGGAGGGTTTCTTTCCCTGATGGAAAGCCCATTTTTCTCGTTGTGTTCATTTTTCTATTTAAGAAGAGGTTGCTATGTTTAGAAAAGCTAGTAACGCAGATATTTTTCTCCATGGCAAGTTGCCATTGAAGGGATGATCTCAGCAAAGATAATCTCTTTCAAACTCTGGCCAGGAGCTAAATTCTTGTGTCACTTAAAGTTGCTGAAGGCTTTTGGTTTTTAAATAAAAACACAAACAACTGTGCTATAAAGCCCTGACTTTTACCTCAGTTTGGTTACTGAAGGACTTTCCTGGAAGCTTCTACCATTGAAAGGATCCCAACTATCAGCTACCCTATATTGTACTCTGTCCTTTTGAAAAAACAAAAATCAATCTTTAGTTTTTCCACAGCACACACCCCTCAAGAGTAAGAATGGTGAGTCACCCGCATTTAAAAAAAAATAAAAAATAAAAAATAAACAAACCACTGACGCAAACCCCAGACAGAAGCAGACTCGTTAAGGGAGTATTCCCACAAGAACCCATTTTTTATTTTGTTTTTGTTTGTGCTCTTGCTTCTCATGAAAACAGATTCTGAGAACAAAAGAAAAACCTGAAACCAAAACACCAGAGAACAGCTGGGGGGGGGGGCCCCCTCCGGGCTCACCCAACTGGTTTCTCTGCTGTTGGCTGGATCGGCCTGAGAGGCCTAGGTCCTGCCCTCACCTGCAGTGTTCTGAGACTGGAGGCTGCCTTTGTAGGCATGAATCACCAGGTTCAGACTCCATGGACAGAGGGCAGGGCAGTGGATGGCAGGGGGGAGGCCTTTGGGAAGGACTCTGCGCTCTGATGGGAACCTGGCTTATTCTAGAGACTCAGAGGGTGGCACTCATGGCGGGGGACAAGAACAACAAACCTGAGCTGAGGTGAGGATGGGGACTTAACAAAAAGCAGTCTATAAAACAGCTTTTGTGTGTTGCATTAGAGAGTCCCCCTATGACAGGCCACCACTGCTGCCCCCAGGCCCCTGCAGCCCACAAATGGTCACCCATCCCTTGAAGTTCACAGGCTCTTTTTTTCTTCCCCCCCCCCCAAAGGGATGGCGGGGCTGTTCTGTTTTCATAGGAGCTAAAAAAAAAAAAAAAAAAAAAAAAAAACTATTTCAAAACAGCCCTAACTGCTATAGCTAGAGTCAAAGAAAATGTGCAAAGAGTATAATCTCCAGGTGCATTTCATTCCAAAAGTGCTGTAAGAACTTCTCATAAAGTAGGCTCCACTACCTGTGACTGCCCACCAAATCTCAAAGAATGTGGTTTCTCCAGGCCTGGGGAGTAGTTCTCACAAGTGCTGGAATCCCCAGCGAAGACACCCCCTCCCCCATTTTGAAGCGGGGGGGGGGGGGTTGCATTGCACCCTCCTAACACCAGCCTAGCAAAACGGCTTTGTAAGAAGTCACCGACAACTTAATAAAGTCCTAACACAGACATGTTCCCTTTTGTTGTCCTTCTGTGTTGAGTTACATCTCAGCCAATTCTGCATGGAGTTAAGTATAGACACGACATTGTGCTGCTCACTCTGGGAATGGAACTGGGTTTGGAACAAAGGAATGGTAGACTATTTTCTCCTTTTTGCTGTTGCTTCTCTTTCCGTGGGAAACAGAAGAACTTTTAAATCTTAAACTACAACAAATTTGGCTATTGTAAACATATGTCAACAACAGCCTTTTCTCTCTTGGTACCTAGCTGCTAGAACTTGCTAGATTTTAGCTAGGCCTTTTCCATGCAGGGCCTGGCTTGAACGACAGTAGACTTCTAAGATTGGTGAGTCCTTCCCTTCCTCTCTCAGCTGCCATCCTCAGACACACAGCTGTGTATACCTATTCCTCACCAGAGGAAGAGCTGGGAAACTGACCTCTTTCCTTGCAGATAATCCTATTTAAGGTTTTAGGTTTCAAATGACACATCGTTTTCCCAGGTCATTTTTTGTAGTCACACACAGCATTCTATGTGCAACACATAATGAGTGTATGTGTATACATGTGTGGACATATGGTGCAATTATTTGGTAGATTGTTTACAAGACTCCAAACACCTCCATGACAAGCACAGGTCTTTCCTGTTTGACCATATTCAGTGTGTCATCATTGCCACGTTACTATCCCTTGATGGAATGGTTTTGATTTCTAAGTACAGGAATTCCAATTTTGAGAAAAGAGATGAGATGGCCATCAGAAGATGTGCTACCCAAGGAGTAAGTAGGTTGGGGAGACACTGTTCCCATCAGTCATATGCTTGCAGTCCATTGTGGGTAGTCCTTGGGCACTGTCCTGGGAATGTGTACATCCCATTACTATTCAAACCTAAAGATGCACCCCACTCTGGGGTCCGGAGAAATGTATCTCTGATTTAAGAGCCATCTGAGAATGTACTGGCATCTCGGATGGGAGGAACTGGGGACACAGTGGACCACTGGGTACAAAAGACACTTACCACCCAAATGGCATTTAGCGGAGGGCAACATTTATAGCTGAGTATTCTATCACTTAGTGACTAAGAATTTTAAAATAAACACCACGTTCCTTTTAAACAGAAATGGAAAAAGAAACAACTTCATAAACTCACTGGCAAGGCTGTTAATGTGGACGTCCCCCATCTATGGTTAGATGTGAAACTCAGTGACTACTTATTTCAAACCACAGATGCTAGAGTAACACTCATTCAAATGCTCACCCATTATTTAGGGTGGAATGAATCAATTACAGGCTGTAGGGAATATTCTGAACGTTAGGATCAGTCACCAGATAGCTACCAGTCCCTAAAGTTGAAAGCATCAAGGGGCCTGAAATATGCAGGTCTTTTTTTCCCCCCATTTCTTTCTTTTCTTTTGGCAAGGAAGTGAAAATTTATGCAAAACATTACACGTCTATCTTTTATAATTAATTTCCCAATGCCTCACCTATACATATTTTAATAATTCCTGATTTATCAGATGGTATCTATAATAAAATTTTCTATTTTCCAATAAATGAAAAGGAGGCAGGTTCACTCCGACAACAGAGTGTCACACAATATCTGCGTGTCAGGCACCAATTTTTACTTCTTACATGTAAGTTAAAGGATAAGGAATTTATAATGCTGCCTGTGAGGGGACCACTTTTCATACACAAATGTGATTTTTTTCCCAAAGGGTAATACAACAGTACATTTACATAAACTAATCCAAACAATCTATGTATTTGACAATGGCAAACCTCACACAGACGGGCTATTGTTGGTTTACATCTTGGAGTTCTTTATACTGGCTTGTAGCACCGCTCTAGCTGTCAAAGGTTTGACTTGGACGCTAAATAAATGGTTCTAGAAGTGCTGTGCAGCGATATTGGACTTCTTTGCAAAAGAAAACCTGCTGTGTATGAATTCAAAAGCTATTAATTTTTCAGTCAAAAATATTCGTGCCTATTTCTTTTAATAAAGAAATACTGTGCTGAGCTACTAAGAGATAATGTTGACTAGTGGTAGAGAATTTTCAATAGAGCAGTTAAAAATAAATTTAGTAGGAGGTCCCCTTCAAAGTTATAATTTTCTAGAATGTAAAACATTTTTTTTTCAATACTAATCAAGACAAACCTTCCTTCCCTGTTCATTCCCTCACCCCCCAGCTGCTCTTCTCTTGTTTACTGACTGCTTAGCACAGGTCCACATGGAGACAGAGCATCAAGGGTCCTCTTGTGCCCATGTGGGCTTATATATCTGGTGCTCCTAGCTATTCCCAGGCCCCATTACCCACTGGGGACCCCAAGGGACTCTGTAGTCCCATCTCCTTATGTGGATTCCTCCTTTGCCTTGATCTAAAACGAGCCTATTACCAGAGTGCTACTCTATCATGGTTGTTTTTAATCCATGGAGCAAGAAGGGGACAACCTCATCCTCTCCCCCTTCCGAGGTGTGAAGACTCGGGAATCTTCAGTCTGGGGGAAGCACTTCACTAAAGCCACTGAGGACTTCCAGAGAGGTCCAGAGCAACCACTCCCCTTTGTCACTGGTCATGACATCATTTCAGGGTAGCACTGATTTGCTCAGCTGGGTTCAGGTTCTTCCCAGTGCTCATTTGAGAAGACCAGACAGGTGGGAACAACTCCGAATGGTTTGACCCTTTCCCCAACCCTTTCTCTTTTTGGTAGCTTAACCATCCTATACCACAGCCATTCACTGTGAGACCCACAGAAGCTACAACTCTTTCTCAGTAAAAATGGATGTGTGGAGTGTTTAATGATTTTATGTCCTGTATCTCAGTAATGTGTTCTGCTTCAGACATTAATTCTGTCTGCCAACTGCATCTTGGCAGGCTACCATATTTACTGGGTTAATAGTCTGACTCCATTTCATTTCTATCACCATACATCATACATATAGGGGTGTGTGTTTGCTTTATTTATAGAAAAAAAAATCAGTCAAAACAGATAAACCAATACTTTGCCATTATGCTGCATCATTGCATGTTGATTAAAATTGCTGCTACTAACTATAGATTGTCAACGCTCAATTAATTTTCACACAGGGACTCCCAGCAAAATCAAATAAAGTCAGCGTACCTTCAAATTTTACAAATCTTAAAACCAGGAACCAAGGCATGGCCTCCAATTTGAATAATCAGCTAAAGCTACTAGGAGACTTCCGGAAATGACACCAAAGCTCATGAGATCAGCATATGGTAAAGTACAAGGTTCAAGGCAGAGTGTTTGCTTTAGATATCATGTGCCTACCAAGATCTCAACTTTAAGGCCTAGCACAAAGAAATAAGCAAAGGAGACTTCTAAAAACCTAGGATGAGTATAATGTCTTTCTCATTCTACATCTGAATATTATGTCTCTCTCATTCTACATCTCTCCCTGATGCCTAGCATCCTGTCTTCTCCGCGAAAGGCCAGAAAGAGTCAGGTGAGAAAGGGGCTTCAGCATTCCCCTCTGCCCTTTCTTTCGCATGTGCTATTCTCCCAGTGCTTGAGGTGGGAGGCAGAGAAGGAACGCACTAGTTTGTGGTGCCATTTCCCCAGGCTGGGGACCAGTACTTACGGGCTGAGGGGCAGCTTTGGGTTCCGTAGACTTCACATGCAGGTGGGTCATCATGGCTTGCAGGCGCTCTTTGTCTTTTGCAAGCTAATGTGAAGAAAAGGCTTTGTTATCTCTTTGAATACAGATGTATGACTCTTGAACATCCCAACTAACTACAGCACATGACAGAATCAGTTTTATTACTTCATCATTTGAAATATATAGGACCCCTGCCAAAGTCGAAGTAACCAGAGGTGTTGATGTGAGATTTCCCAACACAAGGTGCATTAAGGCTTTAACTGGGACATTCTAGACCTGCTGGCACCAAGGAGTCCCAGGGAACACGGACAGCTCAAAGGCAAGCGTGAATCACACCCATTAGCCAAGCTGATTCATGAGGAGGCCACGGGAAGAGGAGCAGCTAGCTCACACTCATAAACTCATCTGTTGTGGTTGTAGACAAACTCACAGACACCTGGATACACTTGTGGAAAGTTAGCTGAGTGTATTACTGGGACTGACGGGTGATGATAGCTAGGAGGAACAGGGATACCAGTACAGAGGGCTTCCCATTTTTAGGTGAATAATGCATTCCCTGTTTCAGATGTTCAACATCAGAGTACCCACTAGATGCTCCCTTAAAACTCCCCACATCTTCATTCCATGAAAAGTTATCTTCTGATGTCACAGATGTTTCTAACTGGATGGGCAGAGTGGAGAGTCACTATTCATTAGATGCTAAAATCTTTATGCTGGCTTTAGACCACTTTGAGATAGTGGTAACTTTGTTATATCACAAGAAAGCTGGGGCAAGGGCCTCTAATGATGTAGTGTATAATATAGCCCCCCCCCAAAAAAATAAAACGGAAGTTGAGGAAATAGATGTATGTAGCATGAAGGGACAATGTAGACATGGGAAGGGGAGGAATATTTTTGCACAAGTGTGTGTATCTTCAAAACCTTCACAGACAGTTTGTCCCAAACAATGCCTTAAAGGTCAGGTGGGGAACCTATCTATTCCTTTAATACCTCAAAGTTGACTTTAAATCTTCAGGAAGTAAGTTTTTTTTTTTAAGTCTAAAATTATGCCAAAATTAAACCCACTTTATATTTTTAACCTAGTTATTTCTGGCGGTGGGGAGACAGGAGGTGGGAGCTCAGGAGTCAGGGGAAGGTAAAGAAGGGGGATTGAGTGCAATGGCAGAAGAAAACGCATGTCTGCCTCTTTCCCACCGGCTGCTGGCTCAGTCAACAGCCATATCACATTTGAGTTTTTATTCTTTTTATTCCCTTGTGGTTCAGAGAGGAATAAATCAGAAAGAAGTAGGAGGGAAAAGCCTTACAGGGTTAGCATTTATCTTTCAACAAACAGGAAATGAAAACGACACCATATTAGGGTCTACTTTATGTTACTCGTCCTCTGTTCTTTGGTGCATTATTGAACTGCCAAACTAAGATTCTCAAAACACATAATGCCAAAGGAATTTGGGTTTTCATCGTGGCTCAGACAAAACAATTAAAATGCTGGGAATAGCATTTTTCTATGGTTATTCATTTTTTTACGTTAAGTGCCCTAAGGGGTTTTTAGTTGTTGTTGTCTGTTTTTTTTTTGGTTTTGTTTTTTATACTAAAACTAAACTACTCTAAGATGTCTTTTTTTTTTTTTTTTTTTTTTTTTTAAAGTTTGTCTTGAAAACTATCATGGGACTGGGAAGAATTTAGCCATGAATGTCACTCTTTCTAAAAACATGAAGTAAGTAGACTGCCTATGTTGAAGAACACAAATTAAAGGGTGAGAGGTGGCATTTACTGAAGAGTCTGCTGAATATTAATTGTGACTTAATTTAAGGGTAAACATCTCCGATGTAGCAATTACAAGGAATAAGTATGGTAAAGAGAGAAAAAAAAAAAAAAAAAAAAAAAAAACCTAAAGCCCCAGCACCAGGGAAGATCCTCTCCTTAACCCTGAGCCTGACCTTCCAATAGGCGAGAGCAACCGCAATGTGTACACAGGACCACACCCACACCCTGAAGCTTACTGCCACTGGGAACACATCCCACCAACTCCTCAGTGCCACCCGCTTTTCCAGCCTCACCTCCTGACATAATGTGAGAATACAGACATCTTATGGTAGGGAATATACCCTTAGCATTCCCTGTTCACTTGGCGTTCCACAGAAAGCCAAGGAAAGGGGGATTTGAGAGACTGTCCAAAACCAACTAGCAATCTGACTGGCAAATTAAAACATAAAATATGTTGTGATGTCAGAAGTGAACTGTTCTTGAAATCTTTCCGCAGGGTAGGTGGCATTCAGGCCAGACAATGGGCTTCATTAGAGGGCACTCCTGAGTGGGGGGACACACACACACACACACACACATTGAAATTAGCTGGTCTGCATACCAACTCTCTTGAAAGATGGCAGAATGGAAGTAGATAATGGACAGGTTATCTACCCTATTGTGCTGTGTTCAAATTCTGGCCTCTGGGCACACTCTGCAATCCTTCTGAGCATTTCATTTTTCTCCTAAATATGGATTGCTCATCTCTGAACTCATACGGTTGTTCTGAACATGAGTTCTGTACAGAGCAAGCTCAGTGCAGCGGCTAATGAATGCTGCATGGAGGTTAAAAATACCTGCTGCAATTTTTTTTTTTTTTTAAAGGAGGAATTAAGTCAGTCTAGTCTACACTGGCTGGGTATATCTTTGGAATCAGGATCCACATAATGGGGTATAATGGAGTCAGCTGTGAGTCTGGGTGGGAAGAGAAATGAGCCCCCCTGTTTTAAAAAACAGAAAGCACAGCTCCGGAGATGATGTCTAACTCTGACAGATTTCTCTCTGAGCCTGACGGTCCTCAGCTCTAGACCAAGAAATTTTTTCTCCACTGGATGATATAGGTCACCCCCCTCTTCTATCATCCAAGCCTCAAATTGGGTTTTAGACAAAGTGTGGAAGCTCAGAACACATGCACTGCCCCAACAGCACTGATAAATGCCAAAGACCAGGCACTCCACTCAATGTCTGCAAAGACAAAACCCAGGGAGATGCAACCCAGGCTTCTGGCAGAGAGAAGGGAGCGAGTCTGGGGTTTCCTCAGCATCTCCCTTCTACCTTTCCAGGGCAATTGTGTAGTTCTTGTGATACACACTATTCCACAGAAATGAGTGAGTGTAAATACGTGAAAGTACTACAGTTCTTAGGGACAGACGAGGAAAAGGCATGAGTCATCTCTCTGCTTGGACAGAAGTAAAAATCACTGTGGTGGCTCTGGGTCCCCTTGACTTATGTACTGCAACTGGGGAAACCGGGGCACACGGGATGAACACCTGGAAGGCCACAGCATCAACAAGGACAGAAGTAAGGCTAGAATCCTGCTTTATAACGCTGGGCCTAACTTTACCCAAAGGAACTGATCTTCAAACTTCATTGGAACCTGAAAGACAAAAACCTTCCCTCCACCACTCCTAGCCCTGACAAAGGAGCAGGATGAATGGAAGGTGGTAGCAAGAGGGATTGAGATGTCCCTAAAGAGACCACCATTAAACCCTGAGGTTTCACTTAAGCCTGCTAGGCCACCTCTCAAGAGAAGAAACAGGAGTCTGGGCTTTTGTAAAGGCCACAGGAGTGCATGTAAAAGCCAAGGAGTGTGGGTGTCCAACTTTTCTGTGGACTTCGGCAGTGAAAGCCCTCACTTTCAGAGCAAGTTTTTATACAGTGATGACAGAAACCACCCAGTTGTACTGCTCCTTCAACTGCACGTGACAAAAAGCAAAATGCATAAGGGGTCAGAAATCAAACCCAGCACACCCTAAACAGCAGTCTCTGGAAGGAAGGAAAGCAACTTCCACCAACCTGGTCAGCTAGCTGCCAAGCAGAAACTCTGTACCCAGTTGACGGCCATGCGCATGCCTTCTGCATTCAGTACCGGGAGAAACTGGTGAATGTTTCCCAAACCATCAACTGCCATGTTCAGCTAGTGGGGGGACCCACGGCTCATTTCACCCCAACTCCAAGAATTTCCCTACTTTTATTGTGTTCCCTCACCATCTTAACATTCCTCACATGTTGTTATTAAAGACTCTCTTGACATTTAGAGCAGACACATACTAATACTCAGTCATAGTCTCGGAATCCTAATGCTTGCAGACTTAGGCAGGATTTTAAATTATGAAAAATCAGTGTCTTGGTTTTTCAAAGCAGGATGTGGAAGTGAGAAAGCCAGACACTCCCTCTCCCTTTCCCTGGCTCCAGCCTCAAAGCCCTGGCCACAGGAGGTCACAGTAATGCTGGGCCTTTGCTGTCCCTGACACTTTCTGAGCTTGCTCAGGAGAGACAAGAGCTTTAGTAAGGCTGCTGCTGCTGTGAGGAGATGTCCAGAGCCTGGCCACAAATGCGGTTAGAGAGGGCCAAAGGGGGACATATTACAGATAATATATTTGCTGAAGTCTAGGAAGCTGGTGTGATTACAAATAGCTCTGCTAATGGTGGGGTAATCACATGCAAAGCCCACACTGTAATTAATTTGTGTTAGGATTAATGTCTCCCCCTGCTACTGAAACCTGTGCACTCTTCTCTCTGTGGACACTTCCGTAAAGCTGACAGTTCCCAGTGTGGACAAGTTATCCAACTTCCCACTGGTTCCAGAGTCACTGGGCAGGGTGCCTTAGGAAGGAGCTCTAGGTGGCAGGCAAGGAAATAGCATCATAACCAAATATTAAAACCTAGCAACTGGCTCCTGAATGGGCAAGCTCAGAACCCTTCAGGGAAAGGAAGAGAGTCTGGGTAATTCTGCAGGTAGGCAGCTGCGGCAACAAAATGGTGACCAGGCTGGGGTTGGGGGGCTGGGCTTTTCTACTATTCACCACTAGCTTCAAACAGGTTTAACTTTATGTTCCAAGCTACTGGTTCTCAACCTGTGGACCACAACCCCTTGGAGGAGGGTTCAAAGAACCCCTTCTATGGGTATTGCCTAAGACCATCCTGTATAAAAGATATTTACATTACAATTCATAACAGTAGCAAAATTGTTATGAAGTAGCAATGACATAATTCTATGGTAGGGAGCCACCACAACATGAGGAGCCATATTAAAAGGGACACAGCATTAGGAAGGTTGGGGACCACTACTCTAAGAAATTCAGTGTTCTTATGTCTGGTGTGCAGACTGGTGTGACTCTCAGATGTCAGTGATGGCTAAAATCTCTACAGACAGGATGTCACCCTCAAAGGACCACAGAGAAGCACGACAATAAGTATGCCTAGTAAAGACACCCCAGAGATTGACTGATATTCCTCACATAAAAATGGATGAGAACCTGGGAAGTGGGCAACAGTTCTTAATGGAGAGATTTGATAAATTGTGGGTGCAAAGCCTCAGGGACAGTGACTTGTATACCAGGTGACCAACACCCAGCCAAGAAAATTCTAGCCTCCTCTGGGGCTATGAACATACAGGACACAGAACATCGTAGTGGAATGACCAGCTTATCCTAACTTGGCCAGGACTGTCCCATCTTTTAAACTATAAATCCTAGGTCCTGGGGATTTCCTCAAACCTAAGGGACAGGCAGAGAGGCTGAGATCCCCTAGTCACTATCTATTTGGTGCTGATCAGCTAGATTCATTTTGAAAAGGAAGTGTATTTTTTAATCTCCTTTGTACAATCTGGGCACATCCTCCAGTGGCTACCTTGACCTGGAACCTTCTTGTTAGCAGCTTTTGCCATTGTCCCCTGCACAGGAAACTCAAAGTGCTTGCCATGGCATTGGAGGCAGGATTGACACCCTTCTCTACTGCTATACTGCACGGGCCCCTTGCTCACTTCCATCCTGTGCTTCAATACAGTTAGTACATGGGAAGTAGTGACAGTGTGCATGAAACTAGTTACTGACACTTTCCTCTAGGCCCAGCCTTTCAAACAGGGGCCAACTGACTCAGTTAAGTTGCTGCCTTTTCCTCCTGCCAGCTCTCTCTCTCCACTGTGTGTGTGTGTGTGTGTGTGTGTGCGCGCACGTGTGTGCTGCTTGTGCCTGTGTGTGTTGTGATTGAACCAAAGCTCAACGCATATAAATCTAACACTCCACCAACTGAGTTACACCCCTGATTTCACTCTCAGCCCAGAGGATTTGAGGGGCTGGATGAAATTTGTCTAGAAAGGCATCCCTATGGTACACAATAAAAACATACCATCTTCAGACATTTTTTTTTTCATTCAAAGGACATAATCAACTGAAGAGGATGAAAAGTAGCAATGTCTTATGACAAAAGTAGTCTGTATGTTCAAGAAAAAGGCACCCATGCCATTCTAGTCTTCCTAAGAGGAGGTCAGTACTGCTGGACATCTTTTCTGCCTGTAATTTTAAGTAATTTTGTCTCCCATCATAGAACTATGTCCTGAGTACTGTACATTTTTCTGTGTGTGTGTTATCTCATCCACAGCTTAAAAGATGAACAAACTGATATATACCTGTCACCAGCTGGGTTCACCCAGCTGACATGGGCTACACACTCAGCTCACACCTGGCAGCCAGTGGCTGCCAAGCTTCCTCCCAGAGGTATCCCATGTTTCTCAACTCTCCTGGCTGTGACATGTAAGCTATCCAACACATTACTAGTTCCTGCAGCTGGGTCCCTTGGTCCTGGCAGAGGCAGGGTAGAGGGGAATGCTGTATATTTTGTGACCTGTGTAAGGCTGCAACTTAGTACCCCTGCAATTCCATCTCATCTTTTTATACATCATTCCTCCCCCCAAAAAAATCCATCCAAAGAGAACATTTAACAGATGGAATAATGAAAATGTATCTTCAGACCCCCCCCCCAAAAAAGAGCCCTTATCCAAATGACTTCTGTGGTCCATGTCTCTCTGTGGTCCATGCCTCTCCTCTGTGGTCCATGCCTCTCCTCTGTGGTCCATGCCTCTCTTGCTATGACATCTACATCTGCTCATATGAGCCTCCTGGGTTCATAATGTTCAGCTCCTAAGTAATAGCAGGGATTGGCCCTTATTAACTCCACTGGTGAGACATTCTAACTGGCTTTTAAGTAGTGAGACAAGGAGAGAAATGTCCAGAATCTCAGAACATCTTCTACAAGATCTTTTGGACTCTCTTTCCTCTCTAGGAGGCCAATTCAAAGGCAAACTTGGCATGGGATTGACCAGCCCCTTCTCTTCACTACTAAGAAAACATTCATCATGTACTTCAAGACACACCCCCTCCCTTTGCTTTGTAATTGATGTGGTGGCTGAAAATATGGGCTTTCCAGCCCCATTTTACCTACTGGGAGGCAGGAAAGGCTCTAGCGTACAGTGCTTCCTAGTCATCTTAAAGTCCTTATTATCCTCTAATTTAGATGTAAGGAGCCACCACACATGCACACGCCAAGATCCAGTGGGAACCTGTGTGAAACAGGGCAAATGAGTGGCCTCTGCCTCTCCCAACATACAGCCAGTGAATTAGGTGGAAGACGTGTGAGTCTAACACAACATAATTTTTGGGGGGGAGGGGGGTATTGTTCAAGCTTTTAACCGTTTGAACACAACTGTGCTATTGAGCTACAAATATTCCCTAAGTTTATGCTTTAACAACTAGCAATTTTATAATAAACTTTGAGAAACTAAGACAGTTAAGAATCCCTTGGGCTGGGAAAGAAGCAATTCCTTGGACTAGTGCTCTGCAGTACATTTTTTTTTTTTTCTAGAGCAGGGACTACCCCAGGCTGTGATGAGAGGGGGATGCTCGTGTGTACATGGACCAGCAACAGAGAGGCTGTCTGAGTCCAAGTCTGGCTCCCAGAGTATCCTTACACTGCATGTCACTGTCTGCCCCCATTACCTCTGGTTCTATGGCCATTCCCAGGTTGAGTGCTATGAGGGCATGCTTGGGACCCCAACACTCAAGAGGTGGAGGCAGTCAGACTGCATTTGAGTTCAGGGCCAGCTGAGAACTTGTCCCTTGAATCAAAACTGAACATAAAAAAAAAAAAAAAAAAAAAAAAAAAAAAAAAAAAACCCAGTACATTTACAACATAGGTATATACAATGACCAAACAAACATGGAAATGCTGAACTCTAAAGAAGTAGGAAGCCAAGAAGGAATCTTATTTTGATCACATGCTTGGTGTCTCCAGAGCTCCCCAACTTGCTAGGCTTACCATCTAAACTCTCTTTCATCCAGTCTTCAGGAGAGATCTGAATTCTCAGGGTAAGGGTTAGAGCACAGGAGCTCGGGTTGGGGATGCAGCTGGGTGGTAGAACACTTGATTAGCACTAAGTAGAGTCCTGGGTTCAGTCCCCAGCAGCAACACAGAAACAAGACAAACCAGGAACAATTCCCATCTTTTGTCTGGTTGTTGGATTGATTGAGGAATAACTATCCGGGTTTAGCTGCTCCCTTTCTAGCACTGGAACCTTCTTTTGATAAAGTCCTGCTATTGTGTACAATTTGTGTCAACTTGCCAGCCAATGGCAGTCCCACTTGTTTTCTAGGAGGTGGTTTTTATTGTTCGTTTGGTTTTTTTTATTTGAGACAGGGTACTATCGGGTAGCCCTGGCTGGCCTGAAACTCCCGACATAGCCCAGGCTGGTTTTGAACTCCTGAAAAGCCAGCTGCTTCTGCCCACTGAGTGCTGGGATTACATCTGTGTACCACCATGCCAATTCATCTACAGCTTTGGAAGATTTGTTTATTTTATTTATAATGTATGTATAATGTGTGTGTGGTGTGTGTTTATGTGTGCAGGTATCTGAACAGGCTAAAAGAGTGTGTCTAGTCCCTGCAACTGGAGTTACGGACAGTTATGAGCCATCACGTGGGTACTGGGAGTCCTGGCCCTTTGTAAGAGCCATTAAGAGCTCTTAACTACTGAGCCATTGTCTAGCCTTCCACTCCTCATCTATTTTTATTGTCCAATTTTCCTTGTAGAATATAAGAAACAGGAGGTCAGCTTTATCCACTGGTAACCACTACA